ATAAGGTACCATGTACTACTTCTGGCTTACTACAGGAATATCATATGTGCCATTTAATTCCCCGTGCAGATAAGTACCTTTACGGAGGAGCTAGATATAGTAGTTTCATTCTACGAAGTGTAATAATCAATATGACACAAGGGTTCTAGGAAGGCACGGGAGGGGGAGGGGTCCAGGGGTGAATGAGGTTTACAGGACAAGGGATCAGGAGAAAAGTAAGCCAAACCTGACATCAGGAATCTGGAATCCACTAAAAAACTAAAGCAATGCCATACCTTTCGAAATAAAAATATTTTATCTTACCTTATCCTACCTTTTAGCGGCTCTGGTGCTTGCACTAGAGCTGCTATTCCGGACGGTCCCAGCTGGGGAGTATCAACGGACCATGTTACATTGGAGAGACCGCGTGTTGGTTGATGGGAATCGGCGCCATTTTCTGCTGTTTAGGGGGGACTGATTTTATTTTAATTGATATATTTTTCCTGTGAGCGAATGCTATGTTGTGTAGTGTATTTTTGGAATCATGGTGATACTGTCAATAATTCAAAACGGGTCTGTGCTTTAATCTCGCACTGGAAAAAATGTACTTTACGTTTAAAATTTGAGAATTCAAATCTATAAGTTTTCGCGCTTTTTTCGAAGAATGCCGTGGTTGGAGCTTCCTAGTCATACTACTCGACATCAGCTGATAGCAAACAAAGGTTACCAAGGAAACCGTAAACGCGTAACAACTACCTACCGTCGCCAGAGCCGCTTTCCGACGCGAATGCGTTGGAGCTTCCTGCTTGTTTTTATCTTATCAACGCAAAGCCTAAAAATTTGTTTTGAAAAAAAAGTGAAATTTCCCTTTTTTGATCATCGAATCTGTTAAAACCTAATTTTTTTGCATAAGGTTTCCTTGCGATAATTGAACCATAACCTTGATTATTTTCTTTTGAGAATTTTGAGGCGCAACACATTCATTTCGTGCTATCCGCTTATGGTCATACGATGTTCTGTCACAGGGCGAGTGCAATAGAATAGTAGAAACAACGAGCACGGCTCATGCAGGCGTGTTCGCCCGCCCCCGCGCGCCGTCGTCGCCCGGTCGTAAAAAAACACAGGGAAGCCGAATTTGAAAGGTGGCGGTTTTATTTGAGTTCAAGCGGCGTGTGCTAACGCCAGCGTTGCCGGATCGCCGCCGACGGGGCGCCCGCGGGACGGGACTCGGACGGGGTCGGTGCGCGATCTTGCGGGTGCGCCCGAAATCGCGAGGCCCCGAGAGCGCCCGGCGAAATTGAATTCGAAAAACCGGGGCGTTGACTCGGGGCAGTCCCGGGGACGCTGCGGGGGCGGGGGTTCCGCAATAAATGTTTGATGCTGTGACTGTGCACTGCGTTCCGAGTGCGAGGGGGGGGGGGGGGGGGG